CCTTAACTTCAGCCTAACGTATGTAAGCAGCTTTCAGTTCCAAATGGAAATTAAAATAATTTGCCATTGCGGTTTCCATTCGCAGACGACGCAAATTCTGTTGATTTCACGTTGTTGTTTTGCAGAGAACGGCTGAGAAATGTACAAAGTTTTGAAACGCACGTGTTGGTATTGTTCTAACCATTAGATCTTACGCTTTGCCACGTCCTTTTTGCCGTCGCCGTTTGTCTAAGTTCTCCATTATGTCTTTAATTTGTATTTTTTTTAATGTTTTTTTGTCTAGATATCATCCAATCCTAACGCTGGACGCAAAACATTTTTTATCAACTGTGGAATTCATGCTCGCGAGTGGATCACTCCTGCGACTTGTATGTTCATGATAAATCAGGTGTGTTTGAGTTTTTTGTTAATATAAAGCAAACATGTCAATTCTAATAGGCAAACCTATTAACTTGCGTGCTTGTATTTCGTGGTAACCTCGCATAAACTTAGGTCAAAAGTCTGGGGCGACGTAATTTCAAGTTGGGGGCGACGCAATCATACATCAGGTCGATGGAACTTGGGTTGATCATGCAAGGGGCGACTTCATCTTTTTCCCTTAAGCAGTGATGTGAGCTTTCCTATAGTGCTTGCATTTGAAAATGGCTCGAAAGGGTTTCTGAGAGCTGACTGACATGTCAAAAGAAATCAACACTATTAAATCTATATAAAGCAACATCATTCAGCTTTTGAAAACAATTCAGGCCGGGTTCTTTTGAATTCATTTACAGCCGTCATCACATGTCGTGCTACGCAATTGCGTGAGGAGACTGCACACGGTATATAGACGCTTGGATCCCGTCTCCTTCGGACATGAAAACTCTTTAAGGGCTTTTTGGGGCACATTATTGTTATAACTAGTGGCTCTTTTAAATTTACGAACAGATGCTGAAGAAATATGGCAAAGACGCGTCCGTCACTAACATGGTGGATAGGCTGGATTGGGTGATCATGCCAGTATTTAATGTGGATGGATATGAATTCACTCACACCGGGGTAAGTGCAACAAAACTCCAAAGGAACGTTTCAAGAGAAGTACAAGCCATGCGGCCCCTAAATTACCTTGAACTAAGTGGCCTTTTTTCTCTCTTATAATGCCCTATCATGAAATATTTTCAGTTAAGCATGAGAATTCGTTTAAACAGCTGTTAAAAAGCATGAGCACTTGGTTTCATAATATTTCTTCCATGAAAAATTCCAATGAGCTTCGACTTCATGTACTCATCCCAGTTTCCTGGCTCGCGTTCAAACATGTTAACGAAGGGCCACGCTATGTGATTTGAAGTCATTCGGGCAAAGTCGTAAAAGTGATCGGAGAATTTGAAACCTTAAACTGATAACTAACTGTTAAACTTTTATAGAATCGAATGTGGAGAAAGACTATGTCTCGAAATAGTGGGTCTAGTTGCCTAGGCACAGACCCCAACCGTAACTGGAACTTCAGATGGGCAGGTAATGATAATGATCACTATCAATTTTAAAAAAAGATGGAGTTCTACCTTAACAAGAGGTCAGTACTAAAGAACGTATATTGAGA